AGTTAAGAAAGCTACTGAGTGCTTCGTAGGGCGGAGAGCCTTGGAGGTGCAGCTGGAGGAGCGGGAACCGGTAGAGGGGCGGGAGCTCCTCCTCGACAATGATAGGTCCTAATCTATGGAATTTACGTGTATTTGGAACATTTTTTGAATACGAGTCGCACCTAAAAGTATCGCATAGGATCGACCTTGCCTTAGCACCCAGGCTCTTTTTAATTGGTACTTGCCTTCCGATTCGTCTTGCCTTGACGCGTTTTGCATCTACAACTTACAGTTATAAACCAAAAAGGTGGTGCCAACAGCCAAACCTTCTACGACCCAGCAAGGCCCCTCCAATCGAGTCGGGTCAAACGGCGCTGGCCGGCGATAAACTTTGAATCCTGCCGAATTGCTACTACGTTTAGGCTTGGTAACCATAACATCGTTCTTGGGCTTGTTTCTCAATCGAGAAATCGACGGCGGCGTCGGCGCGCCCAACGGTGACGCAACGGCGCCGCTCGCGACCTTGATTTTCTTGCAGTTCACTCGTATAGTGATTAGTACAAATATAGCATGTATTTCTTAAGTGGTACATTAGTATTATCTACGATTTCCACGCACCTTTGGGACGCTGTGCGGAGAGGGCACATTCCTCACACTCGATTTCGACGTACCAAGAACGTCTGTTCTTCAACGCTCCTCACCGTTAATGCCTCGCATTGCTCAGTTTACAAAACTTGCTGTGTGCAAACTCCAAACCCTTCCCCTGATATATCTGCTCGGCCCTTTCAAAGCTTTTAACAGTGGATATTGAAGGATATAAAATATTTGCATAGTTATTGAAACATTATAAGAGAAACGGAGAAAATCCCTTATGAACTTGCACCATTAAGGGGGAACTAAACCCTAGGGACGGGTTAGATGGCCAGCACAGAAGGCGATCGCGAATGAATATTGTCACAAGTTTATCCACTCAAGCAAATTAGAGTCCTTAGGAGTGATTTGAGGCCAGTCGAATGTCTGCCTGGCCGGGGAAAGCCTTGGCTGGCGGGGCGAGCTGTGGTAATATGTACACCACCGGCCCCTAAATTAATATATTCGAAGAATAAACATACTAGAAGATCTTATAATCAATGAACAATCCCCTGGGAGGGCGGCGGGCTGGGGGCCTGGGTAAAAAATTGTAAAATACCAGGAAATTTGGGAGCGTATCCTACAACAAGAGCATTGATGGTTCAACGGTAGAATGGGTCGTTGCCATAAAAGGAAATCGACTCGACCGGGGTTCGACTCCCCGTCAATGCATACTTTTTGCTTCGTTCGCCGGCCCAGTCCCCACGTATGGGGTGGGCCACCTGTGAGGTCTGAACGAAGCCTGAACTCTATTTTTGCTTAGTTTCGGATGTTAAAAAGCATTTGGGATACATCTTCATAGTTTATTTCAATGATAGCAGCCACTAACCCTACATGACAGAGGTTTCTTGCTCGAGCACTACTAAATGTCGCCCCTCGTCTCTTACCTCTTTAAAGAGAGTAGTAATTGCTCTTTGCTTCACGAGCCAGTCTACAAACTCGCTAGCTTCAAGCATGATTGTGGCCGATGGTGGACACCACCTATGTAGGGCACGTAAAAACCTTTTAAACGTGTTGAGACTAAGTTCCTTTTCTGAATCGAAGAACGGGATCTCCTGATAATATGGCCAGTAAATGAAGACGGTGCCAAGGTTGGGGAGGTACATCGACTTTTCGAAAACGGAAACCTCGCAGGTAGACATGATATCAAGCCGCCTGAGCTGGGGTAGTGAGAGAGGCTCGCTTTGCTGACCTTGAACGGGCACCAAGCGACCGTAGATCCTTACGGTTTGCAGGGTTGACGCAAACTTCTGAAGGATCCGCATCGACCGGTCATGCTCGCTGTGTCGCTCGAACTCGATACGTAGTCCTAAAGGTAAGTTGTTCCTCTCGCGGTATGTGTCGTTGCGTCGCTGACTTCTTGCGTTCTTGCTGCATAGGTCGCT